TGCCATTTTTCTCCTGGCTGCTGAAACCACAGGCAGGTTTCAGGGCTTGGACTGTGTTACATCCTGTGCCTCTGTGAATAATCCTGAAGAGGTGGTCTTTGTTCCCCTGAAGCATGTGTAGGGACACAGAGGAAACCCCTGACTGTTTACATAGCCACATCTGTACAGAGTGACTGGAGAGCTGAGGTCCACAGAGGAGGGATCTCAGCCTGGCCCAAAATGTTTGGGTTGTCACTTGGTTCCAGACATGATCTTTGTGTTTGGGCCTCAGGATGGTCTGTCCATCTTCTATGCCTTGTCACTATGCAAATTCACTTGTGTTCATCTACCCACAGAGACTGCAATGGAGCCATCATCCTACCCAACCCTCCACACCAAGAAACAGGTGAAGAAGGAAATGGAGAGGCTGATCATAGTGGTCTATGCTAGAAGCATTTGGCTCTGATTCTTGTGTTGGGGGCCAGGTTTTCGGACAGAAATGAGGGGAAGAAGAGAGGAAGTGTCACTATATATTGTCCTGGATCCAGCTCTATAAAGCACCCTCTCTGGCAAAATTGTAATGTGGCATTTATGAAAAGTTCAATGATAAGAAGCTTCAGGTTTCTGTAGCCCTTGATTAGGGGGATTCTGCAGCAAAGTGGCCACCTGATCCCGGCTCCAGGTCAGATGAGGGACAATATAGAGACCTCAAACAATTAGGCAGGGATTCTAGGCAGGACTTCTGGGCTCCAGGACGCTCACCTTGATGCTAAATTAAGGGGAATTGGAGCTTGAATTCACTTCCTTCCACATTTTAGTGTGCCTTATTTTTGGTGCTGAGAATGGAAACAGGCCCTTCCATGATCTCTATCACAGAGCCATACCTCCAATCTGATTTGACAGTTATTTTATGTTCCGTTTTGAAAATTTCTTTCCTCTTTCTTATTTTTACAAATTTTTATTCTGTATATGAGCACATGGAGAGATCATAAAGACAACTTTGTTCAGTCTCATTATTTTTCACTCCATGTTTAAGAAAATTCTGGGGATTGAACTTAGGTGTCCAGGTTTGTGCAACAAGTCTTGAACAAACAAGTCCTGCTGAGCCATTTCATAAGCACATGACTTTCATTTGAATATTATTTTAATTTTTGTTTTTTCCCTTTTTAATATTTATTTCATTTTTATGTATATGGGTGTTTTCCTGCAGGTATGTGTGAGCACTGCATGTGTTCCTGGTGCCTGAGGAGGCTGGAAGAGTGTGTTTGAACCTCAGTATGGTGGCTGGGACTTAAACCCTCATCCTCCACAATAGCAGACAGTTCTCTTAACTGCTGATCCAACTCCCAAACTCACTTTTTCTTTGTTTGTTTTTGGAGATAGTGTCTTACTATGCAGCTATGGCTGTCCTAGAACTCGGTCTATAGACAAAGCAAGCCTCAAACTCACAGACATCTACCTGCTTCTGCCTTCTGAGTGCTGGGATCAAAGGTATGGGACACCATGTCCTACTTCTGACTCGCATGCTTACTGTACAGTGGGTCCTGTGCCAGCATTGAGCATGAGCACTAGACAACAAATCAAACCTCACACTGCTTCCATCTCCCTGGGAGACAGACAGCAAGCAAAATGAAACACACCCAGCTTAGAAGGAGGCTCCAGTGTCAGAAGGGCTAAAGATGCCCAGATCAGCTGCAGCCCACAATGATACCAGTACTGGGATACTTCAGCATTGTCATAGTCATGGTCATGGGGCTCAAGACAATTTTAGAATGGAAGAAGGTAAAGGGATGAGGTAAGAACTGACCAAGAATTTATACAGAGCAGTGATGACCAGAATGTGTTTTCCTAAAGCATGCATACAGACTTCCAAGGCTAGATGACTAGAACTTGAGACTTGGATATTCTGGTCTAGATACATTTCTGATGGTCCATTGGATTTAGTGTCAAACTTGAAAATTCATATGTCTACCAGGTAGTATTTTAAAGATGTCTGAATGAGTTGTAAGACAGTGAAGGAGATCTGGGTAATTTTGTTGTTGTTTAAACTGTGGTTTGTGTGTGTTTGTGTGTGTGTGTGTGTGTGTGTGTGTGTGTGTGTGTGTGTGTGTGTGGTATGTGTGTGGTATGTGTTTGTGTGTGATATGTGTGCATATGTGTTTTTGTGAGTGTGAGCATGGGTGTTGTCGTCAGTGGATGGCCTCAGGTGTTGCTTCTTACCTTCTACCAAGAGATTGCGCCTCTTTGGATTGTACTTTTAGTCTGTATAGGGAGAGGTGTGTGCATGCCATTGCTTGCATGTGGAGATCAGAGGAGAACTTTGGGAGTCTATCCAATCCTTCCAACTTTACACCAGTTCCAAGGAACAAACTTTGGTCATCAGGATTGATGGCGAGTTCTTTTACCGGCTGAACCATCTAAGTTGGTTCTCTTTATTGTGTTTGCCACTGTGTGTGCCTGGAAAACTGGGCTGTGTTTCTATTGGTTCTCTTGTCTCTGTCTCCCAGATCACCATAGGAACACGAGGATTAGAGATACAACAGCTTCCACACTCAGGTTTACATGGGTTCTGGGATTCAAATGTATGATTCACACTTGTGTGGAAAGCACTTTACCCAGTGAGCCGTTTTCCCAGCCTGGCTTGTTTTCTCCTCTCCTCCTCCTCCTCCTCCTCCTCGTCCTCCTCCTCCTCCTCCTCCTCGTCCTCCTCCTCCTCCTCCTCCTCCTCTTGTACAGTTTTTCAAGACACAGTTTCTCTGTGTTGCCCTGGCTGTGCTGGAAATTGCTCTAGAGATCAGGCTGGCCTCCAATTCACAGAGATCTTCCTGCCTCTGCCTCCTGAGTACTGGGATCAAAAGTGTGCACGACCACTACACAGATAAACAAAACAAACCAAATTTATTTTTTGTTTAAAAATTTATTTATTTTTATGTGTATTGGCATTCTACTTGCATATATATATATATATATATATATTGTGTGTGTGTGTGTGTGTGTGTGTGTGTGTGTGTGTGTGTGTGTGTGAAGGTGTCAGATATCCAGGAACTGGAATTAAAGACAGTTTGTGCTCCAATGTGGGAGATGGGGATTGAATTAAATAAGCTACATATTATCTTCTGGCAGTAATTTCTGTAGGCTCCATACTGGGAAGTTGTTTATTTTTTTTATTTTATTAAATTTTCTATTCATTTTACATACCAACCACAGATTACTCCTATCTTCCATCCTCCCGTCCCCTAGCCTTACCCCCAACAACTCACCTCCCATTCCCAACTCCTCCAAGGCAAAGTCTCCCATTGGGAGTCAGCAGAGCCTGGTACATTCAATTGAGGCAGGTCTAAGACCCTCCTCCCTGCACCAAGGCTGTAAAAAGTGTCCCACCATAGGCACTGGGCTCCAAAAATCCCACTCCTGAACCAGGGATGGATCCTGATCGCACTTCCTGGGCGCCCACCAGACAGTTCAAGCTAAACGACTGTCTCGCATATCCAGAGGGCCTAGTCCAGTAGCATGGGGGCTCCACAGCTATTGGTCCACAGTTCATGTGTTTCCTCTAGGTTGGCTGTCCGTCTCTATACATTTCCCCACCATGATCTCAATGTCCCTTGCTCATAGACTCTCTCCTCTCTCTCATCGATTGGACTCCTGGAGCTCAGCCTGGCCCCCAGCTGTGCATCTTTGCATTGCTTCCATCAGTCACTGGGTGAAGGCTCATGGGGCTCCTCAGCTATTGGTCCACAGTTCATGCGTTTCCACGAGTTTGGCTGATTATCTCTGTACATTTTCCCATCATGACCTTGATGTCCCTTGCTCATAAAAACTGACCTTCCCATTATCATTAAGTCTATCACTTCTTGGTAATAAGGAGATGCAGGTACTTGTGGAGAATCATACCTCACACACATTTCTATAATAATTACCTTCTGGACATATACTTTAGTAGGAGATGAACACTCACTTTCCCACATGGAAGTATTGAGGCATTTCCAAACATTCAGAGAATTCAAGGGTGCTGAAGGATTTCCCTTGAGTCCCAGGAGAGATTCCTGGAATGGGAAACCTGACTTCTAGAGAGTTATGAGGAGAGCTGGTTAGCAGGGAGGCAATGTCAGTTCCCCATGACATCAGGGGTCTCTTTCCCGGACATTCTATTGTATCCTGGAAACTTTAGAATGTTTTCTGATGTCCTCTGTGTTGTAGCGCCACCAACTGCCTTTGGGGAGTTTGTTCAGTGCCCTTACAGTTCGGCCATGAACATGTTGGGAAGACTCAGGGGTCTATTGGGTAGAGAGAATAGAGAGGGAAGAGAGACCGGAAAGAGGCAGACACAAACTGACCTTCAGCCTCAATGTAAAACATCAAGAAAAAAATGGTCCAGAAGATGGTATAGTAAGTTCTGGGAAGGAAATTGGCATCTTCCTGAAGGACATGGGTGTGGTAAATCTTCCAGTAACAGGACACAGGAGATAGGAGTCTCTGGGAACCAACTGGACTTCCCTGCTTGTCATGGCTCCTGAAATTCAAGGATTCTAGAAGAGTAATTTGTCTGTCCCAGAAGTCAGGAGTGAGTAAGGCCAAAGCTGTTGTGCTGGGAGCTCTTGCCTGTCAATCCTACAGGAGGGTAGGGATTGAGAGGGGACAAAAAGGACAGCATTAGTGTAGGAGGTTCAAGTGAACTGAGCCCAGAAAAAGACACATCATCAATGTACTTCATTTTCAGTGGCTTCATTTATTTACGACCCTCCAGCTCTATGCATCCTCCGTTGTCACTGAAGAGTCTTAGTGAGGATGGTGACCATATTCTGCCCCTGTGTGGATTCTCCATTTTTGCCATGTGCTTAGAGTGACCTGTCAGGTTATTTATGCATCTTTAGTGACCTGAGTACTTATGGACTGTGTCAATTTTATCTTGGCTTTGATAACAACAGACTAGTGAACCCTGAAGCCAAGTTGAATGCAGAATCCAGGGCTATTAATAAACCTCAGGAGGCTGTCTCCTTAGTTACCTGAAGCATGTGTTAAAGGAGCAGTGGAAATCAGTTGGCTGAGACACCTATCTCCCATCAGAGCGATGGGAGACCTGAGACCCCTGGCAGGGGCATCTTAATCCAGGGCACAATTCTTTGGGGTGTCACTGAATTGCTTGCTTACATCCTTTCTCAAGCACCTTCTCAGGTCTCAAGGTGACCTGTTCATTCTCTATGTCTTGTCACGATGCAAGTTCACTTGTGTTCATCCACCAACAGGGGCCTCCAAGGAGCCACCACCCACTCCACCCAGCCTCACAAAGAGACAAGTGAAGCAGAAGGTGAAGAGCCTGACCACTCAGCTCCAGGTGATGACCACCCAACGCAATGATCTGAGAGATCGCCTCATCTTAGTAACCGAAGGATCCTTGGACAACAGGTATTTACTGTTTCAAACTCCATGGTGACTGTCCTGGTTTCACAATTTCACCCTTAGTTCATTTGTCTAAAATATTGGCTTCTGGGAGGCTGGGTGTACCTTCAGGGTTTCCCATTGTCCAACACCATTTCTCTAAATGCTTCCCTGGAGCAAAACCTGACACATGGGCAGGAGTGAGATGGGGACATAGACTGTTCTGCTTCCTCCAGATGAAAATCAGAGCCTGTGGCCTGAATCACATAACTCAGGAATTGAGGCAGTAGTGTGTGAATTCCCAAGATGAAATTGGAGAGATCCTGTCAAGTGGTGGCTAGTGTGAGAATGCTGTAATTTGTATTACTTGCCTGGCAAGATATTGTGTGCTGGATGATCTAGTAGCAGCTGCAGAGGCCTGGTCCCACACCTTAATATGTGGCAGCAAGGCCTGGTCCCACATCTTAATATGTGGCAGCAAGGCCTGGTACTGATGTCTGCTGTTCTTGGTCCTCTCTGAGATGATAAAACTGCATGCATGAATTTGGCATCTCACTGAGAACATTCTATCCCCCTTCCCTCTCTCAGTCTCTGTTTCCCTTTCTCTTCTATCTCTCTCTGTCTGTATCTCTCTAACTCTCTCTCTCTTTCTGTCTCTATGTCTCTCTCTCTCATCCCTCTTTCTTGTGTATGTGTTTGTGTGTTTCTGCATATGTGTCCCTCTTCACCTGCAATCAGGGGTCTGTGGTTGACCATGAAGAGTTGCTTATCTCAGTATCTAGATGTGCTCTCTATTGTGGACTGAGCCCCATTTTAGGCAGCATAGCCCTTTGCCAGTCTGTTCATCTTGCTGCTAATGAGGAATGCCCTGGGGGAATTTATGAAGCTATCATGATATTGCATCCCATCATCAGAAATGCTCATGATGTGATTTTTAGGCTCCATGTCAATATAGGCACTCTGGAATGAGAATCTCTTATTTGAAAACAGAAGAAACATCACAATTTCTGGTGGGTCAAGACCTGTGATAGACTCATGGGAACTCCATAGCAAGCTAGCTGGCATGACTCCTGAGGGAGCTCATTCAGTCCCAGCTTCTTAACACCCTGCCTTTGCTGGCTTGTGGCCAGAAGTGCAAGTGTACATAGGAGTTTGAGTACATAGGAGCCAGGAAGTGGCATCTCATGGGTTGAAATAGTACAGAACACACCCTACATTCATTTGCTATGTGACCTGTGTTCATTGAATTCTTTGCTTCTGAGTCCAGACCCTACCACAGGCTAAATCCTTTCTGGGAAAACATCAAGATGGAACATCAGCAGGTCATGTCAGACCTGCAGAATTTCGAGAATGAGAATTTGGAGGCCTCACAGAAGTTATGTGAGCTGACCAAGGACAAAGTCTTCCTTTGGTAAGTGCTTGTCTTTGCAGGGACCCCAACTGTTGTACAATGTCCAATTCTCATTTTCTTTGTCTCTGGACTGCAGGGTCTGTAGATGTGCTTCTAGTATTTCTGCTTCTTAGCCAGCAGCATTAGCAACCAGCCTTTGGACTTATGCCCCTTTACTCAGTTTTGCTAAGGTTTAGAGAGACTATTAGCTCCTCCAAGCACCATATTGTCATACTCAGTAGCCTCTAGATCAGTGGTTATCAACATTCCTAATGCTGTGACACTTTAATACATTGCTTCATTGTTTTGATGACCTCAAACCATAAAGTTATTTTGTAACAACCTCATAACTGTAATTTTGTTACTGTTATGAATTTTAATCTAAATGTCTTCATAGGACATCTAATATGTGTCCCTTGTGAAAGGCTCCTTAGATCCCAAAGGGTTCACAACCCACATATGAGAGCCTCTGGTTAGGTAGAAGAGCAATTGGCCTCACGAGAGGGTTGTCAGGCAGGGACTGACTGCTATGGGATCTATGCACCCTCTGGGTCTCCTACTTCCCCAAGTGTACTTGCACATTACCTGCTGGTGTTTCCTCATGACAGTGGACTGATTAGGACAGGTGGGGTACTCCTCTTGTTTTTGGAAGTGCATGGCTTTCTGTTATTTTAGGGGGTTTTCAGAAATAGTTTGATTATTTCAGGAAATAGCTGTTTTCTGCTTTGGTCTTGAGTGCCACTCTGATTACTGTTGAAGGTGCTTCTTTACATCTTCCTGTGAACCTGGGATAGGGTTGGGTTGTTGAGGCATGGAGTCAGGGGTGACCAGTGCAGGCTGGCAAAGTCTTACTATGCAGAGGGTGTTTCCAGTGATCTGCAGAGCCGGCTCCTGATGGAGCAGAGTCAGTTGAAAAAGAAGTTGGACACGCTGAGGCAAGAGAAGGACAACCTACTGGAAGACTGGGACCTACTGAAGCACCACTTGGGTGACTTGAAAGTGCTCAGTAAGGACCAAGAAGAGACCAGTGGACTCGAAAACCAGCAACAGCAGGTAGGACAGGCAGCTGGGTCACAGTTAGGTCCAGCATCATTTACTTACCTAACCTTACCCAGTCTACCTAACCGATCCAGACACCTGTGCTCTATCTCATCACTTTCCTCATCCATACACCCATCCATCCACCCACTTCATGACATAAAATTGTTCATTGTGTGTCTGTGCATTAGTATTTCTGGGAAGTGAGTCTCCTCAGAGAATCTCTGTCATTGGCATTAAATTCCTGATACTCTTCTTGAACCTGTGGTCAAAGGGAGGAAACAGGTCAATCACTCATCACACAGCTACCTGTCATTGTGATGGGAGGATTGCTACACACAGAATTGAGTTCAAGAGTAAAAAATTCTCTAACCACCTCCACACAGACTGACCAAGCAGAGTATGCTCCCTTAGGCCATTTTAGTTCCCAGGAATGGAAAGCTGAGTTTGGGGACTTTTCCTAAAGGCTGGTGTGCTTATTCTAAAGATAACTGCTCCTCTATCCCTTTGTTGTTTTCATCTCACCCCTTTCTCTATCTCTCTCTGTCTCTTTCTGTGGTGTGTGTGTGTGTGTGTGTGTGTGTGTGTGTGTGTGTGTGTGTGTGTGTGTGTAACAGAGGCATGTGGGAATGCAGTGCATATTTCATGTGGATGACAGCTAGAGGAGACCACTGGGTTTCTCTCTTTGTCAGTCTCTTGTCTTATGAACTTGAAACAGGCTTCCCCATGTTCCCATGAAATTGAAATTTGGTGAGTCTGACTTAATAGCAAGCTCTTGGGATCCTCTGTGTGTTCTTGTACTTGTGTGAGAATGTATTGACTATATTATACTCAAGCCTCCACTAAGGACACAATCTTCTAATGAAAAGGAGCAGCAAAGAATGGAAGAGAGACTTCAGAGCTTGCTGAAGCAGAGGGAGCTGGTCACGCAGCAAAAACACTTGGCAATAAAGCTGCAGCATCATTTGACTGTCTCCCAGTCAAATGATGAACCCAGGTTGAATTTGGGGTATGGAGTCAATTGGGTCCCCTGTACCTGGGCTCTCTGTCCTTTGTGGCCTTTTGCTTATCAGCAAGATTCCTTGCTCCAAGCAGGGGTAGACCAACAAAGAACACATAATATTATGCTGGTCCCGTCACCAAGAACTTCTCTCCAGCAAACAATATGTTTGATACTCCCTGGTTCTATAGACTTGTGTCCCATCTCTCCCTTCTGATCTCTCTGGTATGTTCTCAGCAGGCTTTCCTTGAACTCACAGAGCTCTGACTGCTTATGCCTCCCAAGTGATGGGATTTAAAGGTATGTCTCACCATATCTGAAATTACATATTTATTCAGGAATATCACCTGTACGGATGAGATTCACAGCCTTGTCACTATTTGATATAACAATGGCCCTCTTCATTGTCTGAGCATTTCCCATGTTAAGTGTACTGGGGTATAATAAGTTTAGTCATTGGCAGGATGAAGTCAGGCAGATGTCTCTGCTGAAAATTGTTCAGAACCTTCACAGAATGTTGTGGAACAGACTTCTCAGGAGTACCAGGATGTAGATTCCAGGCTGTAGGCCTAAGGATAACACAGCTGTTTTTGTTTATTCCCAGAATTCATACAGTGGCAATGTTCTCAGACACATGAAACAAGAAATGTTGCTCTAGCATGACCGGCTCCATTTTGCAGGAGAGAGAGCTGATTTTTCCACATGACCTTAGTCAGCTGTCTAGTTTGCAAAGCTGTATTAAGTCTATGTATAAAAATGAGTTGGTCAATGAAAAACTCATCATGAACAGTCTGTGTATCTCCTCTATGTCGTTATGTATGACTTTAATATGCTATTCCTTTTGTTTAAATGATGTCCCTAGACTGTAGGAAAAAAGCCCTGTTCTTTCTCATAGAGCACAGAACATACATTACTCATATAAACACCTGATACTTATGGGCAGAAAAGAATTCAAGGCCCAGCTATTCTGTGACACTTATCTCTTAGGGATACAAACAATGACTGCTGCCAAAGTTCAATGTTGACTGTCCAGCACAACTGAGGTTTTGTGATGTCAGAGATTGGCAGGACACATGGCAGACCCCACCAGGACTCTGCCCTAACTGCCTTCCTCATCCAGGTCAGAAAAACTCCTACATGAGCTGGAACGGTCCACAGCTTAGGATGAGAGCCTCCTGCCAACAGAGCTGCTGCAGCAGGAGCACTAAGTGTCATAAGCAAGTGAGCCACCATGACATCCCTTCTCCAGCAACATGGCATTTGTAGGGTTGATGTTCCTTCTTGATTCTGCTTTCCTATGTGTGAATAGGTCCTCAATTAGTCTAGCCAGTGACCAAGCAAAGCTGTTTTAGATCTCATTGCCTTTTCTTCTCTCACAGCATCCTTTACAAGAACATAGTTTAAGATCAACATTGGCAAGGGCTTAACCTAAAGGCCCCAAAGTGGCACGACTACACTTGTCTTGAAGAGACCATAATGCCAATTATGGTTGTCTTCCAACTTGTATCCAAATCCAACCACAGGGTATAGGATAGTGCCACTAAATCTGCAAGAAGAGAATGCTTCTCAGTGTAAATAGATTTGGTTTGCTGTTGTGTTTGTTTCCATTCAGGTTTTGATTTTCTTTGTTTTGTTTGGTGTTTGATACTTTTTGGTTCTTTTGTTCTTTCTTTGATTTTATATTTTGCTAAGGCTATACACTGGATATACTAAATGCCCTTTTAAAGCCCCTATTGAGTCGAATTTCTGTAATTTCATAAATAAAAAAGCAATTTCCAACTCTTCAGTCTTATAGTAGCTTTAGTAGTCAGATGTGGTATTACACTCCTGTAACCTTAGAACTCAACAGGCAGAGATGGATCTCTGCAAGTTCCAGGAGGCTTAGGCTAGTGGGTTCCCAGCCAGGCAGGGTTGGAAAAAGGGATGGTGTCTTGGCTGTGAATCACATGGCCTACAACAAGAATATCCACTTCATGATGGAAAAAGATCCATACTCAACATACGACTTCACATGATTAGCTATTCAAAAAAAAAAAACGGAGACTAGATACACACATGTTCATGACATGATCATTCATATCAGAATTTTTTGAAAAATACCTGTGTTTATATGAGTATAAAAAATGGGGAAATCCATAGTTATCTGCCTTTTAGAGGCAGTGCATTAGGAGAGAGACTGTCCCCTTCCTGGCAGCTCTGAGTGCCCTGAGCTGTCAGTGAGGAAGGGGTGGTGAATCTGATGACTAAGTTTTGTCCTGCATGACTTTTCCATCAATGTGAGGGTCTGAAGCATCCAGAAAGTACTTGGGCAAACCCCACACCACCTGTGTGCCTGTGGATAGTACCAGTTTTCCTCTGGCTCTGACAAAAGAGGACTGAAGACTCCGAAGACAAGTCACATCATGGACAACAGTGAATAATCCCAATGAGGTTGTCTTGTGGGTCACCTTGTGCAGGGAGGCAGAGGAAATCAGCTGACCTCTGAGACACCCACTACCTATAGAGAATTGGTAGAACTGATAGCCACTGTAGCTGAAGTTTTCCTGTGTTCCAGCCTACAGTCAGTCGGGAGAAATCTCTCCCAGGGACAAATCTCTCCCACTCGCGTCCCCCAAGTAAACGTAAAAAGACTTATATTACTTATAAACTGTATGGTTGTGGCAGGTTTTTTGCTATCTGTTCTTATATCTTAAATTAACCCATTTCTATAAATCTATACCTTGCCACGTGGCTGGTGACTTACCGGTATCTTAACATCTGCTTCTCATCCTGGCATCTGGCAGCATCTCTCTGCCTCAGCCTTCCACTTCCGAGAATTCTACTCTCTGCTTGTCTTGCCTATCACACTTCCTGCCTGGCTACTGGCCAATCAGCATTTTATTTATCAATCAATCATAGCAATACATTCACAGTATAGAGAACATCCCACAGCAAGCCACAGAGGGCCACTTATCTGGGCCTTCAGATCCTGCTAGGGTAGTCTCTCATCTGCCAGTCACTTTCTGAACATTCTTCTTATTGATCAGAGACCATAAGGAAGGGAAGAGCCATTCCCGGGGCTGTTTTTGAAAAGTAAGTCTTCAACTCCCTACAGATAAGTAATGAAAAGATTCTAATGAGGCAGAGAGAGATCTCTGGCTTTGTAAGGAAGAGGTACTGAATGGCGTCCCCTGTGTCTCTGAGAATAATCCTGGAAAGGACAACTCCTGGCTAATTGGGGAAGGGCTCAGTAGCACATAGGTGAGGGCTGTGGCAGTGACCCTAACAGTCACTTCCCTGAACATTCTATTGTATCCTGGAGAGCCCTGAGTGTCCTCTTGATGCCACCACTGTTGACGCAACACCAACTGCCATTTAGGGCATTTGTACAGTGCCTCTGGGAATCACAAAGACATGTTGGTGAGACTGAGAGAGCTACTTGGGAGAGAATGGACAGTCTAGAGAAGAGAGAGAAGCAGAAGGAAGCTATTCATCTGTCTCAGGTAAACATCAAGAAATAAATATTCCAGGGGAAGGTGCAGTCAGTTTTGTGCAGGGAATGAGGAGCTCCCTGGAGGAGGTAGGCCTTGAGCTTGGCCTTTCAAGAATGGGACTCAGCAGCTGGGAGACTCTGGGAAACAATGGTCCTATCCTGCTTCTCTGGGTTCCTAAATAGCAGACACAGAGAAGGATTTCTGAGGGTTTGTTTGGCAGAGATCCAGGAATTATCAAGTCTGCAGCTACTATGCTGGGGGAATTCCTTAATTTCACTCCAAGGGGAAACAGGGCATCAAGAGGCACAGGATGATAGATGAGGGATCCCTGTCAGGATACGGTGTTACTGAACTTTACCCTCAGCAATTTCTTTTATGTTCCATGGATATCTGATGCTATTGACAGGCAGATTAAGTCCCCTGGCATTCACCAAGGTCCCAGCCATTCAGTTGCTCTTGGTCCTAGACACAGGTGGTCAGGGCTTGGTGCTGCTAAGCACTACGAACTCCAGGACTTAACGTACATCATATCAGATATGAGCTGGCGTTGTCCTCCGAACCAGAATTGCTGGACTAGCTTATGACTTCCAGAGCCCATGGGATTGCAGTGGGTATGGAGGCACATATCTAGACATTGTGGTGGGGGACAGAGGTATGGCTTATGTGACCCAGCTTGAGGATAGCTGCCCTGTTCCTTCTGGGCTCCACAGACTCCAAACATTTCCTCTTCCTCAGGCCTCTACTTGGGAGTTAGTGTAAGTATTACAGCTTTAGGGGAAATGGCTTCCCCAACAGAAGTGTTACAGCTCTGCCCCAGCAGGCAAGGTTTCCCCAGTGCAAATTTAACAGCTCTGCTCTGGTAGGGGAAATTTTCCCAATGCAAGTGTTACAGCTCTATTCTGAAAGGTATCCTGGAAATCAGGAGACAAGAAATACCACAAAGTCACACCACACAACATGCCTCACACAATATATTTATTGGGAGAGAAAACCCCAAGAGGGTGGCTCCTCTGCTTGGGTGAGAAGCCACAGGGAATTGAGCAGAAGGCAGGCTATATATGGAGTTTCTTGAGAGTGGGGAACTTTCCAGTTTGGCCTGGCGTTGGTGGGACTTTTGTGGACTGATCTTGGGGCAAGCTTAGAGATTGGTAGGATTGTTTTTCCTGACCCTGGTCATGGCCTTGGGAACAAGTCTGAGTCAAAATGTTCTTTCCTTGCACTGGTCTTAAGGCTTTCATGGTTAAGTTCTTTCCATGACCCTTTTACTCTACACTTAGCATTAACTCTCCTGGCCCTATGCCATTTAACTATATAATTACCCTTGTGTTTTTTCTACCTCCAGGGACTACTGGAAAGGCATCATCCCAACTCTCCCCTCACTTAGGAGGGCCTGGGGTTGAACAAGGTGGAAAAACTGACCATTCAGCTACAGATGATGACCTGTTAGAGGGATGAACTACTTGGAATCCTGGACCATAATACAAACAATGATTTGAAAAACAGGTAGTTGTTATGCCTAATTCTCTGTTGACTGTCTTGAAACCACTGTGTCAAGCCCAGGATTCCTCAGAAAAAGGATGAACTCCATGGTGTCCTCATGCCCAAACTAATTTTCCCAAGTGCATCTGAAAGGCAGAACTTGATGCCCGGGTAGGGGTGAGATGGGGACACAGGCTGTTCTGCTTCATTCCAATGAAAAGCAGAGCCTGTGGCCTGTATCACACTCTGGGTATAGGAACAATAGTGTGTGGTTGCTCATCATGCATTTCAAGATGTCTTGACAGGTGTTGGCTTGTGGGAAATACAGGGTGCTATTAGTTTGTGGTGAGACTTTGTACTTGACTAGCAGGTGATTTGAAAACAAGGTGTACTTGACAACATGTCTATAGGCAAACTGTATAGGCATTGAATGAACATCCTAAAGGCACTTGGTGTTGCTACAACACTATTGACATCACAGGGGATTCCAAGAGCTCTGCTCTTCAGGATACAATAGAATTGCCAGAGAAGGGACTCCTGACGTCCCACGGAAAAGCCTTTGCCTCCTGGCTAATAAATTCTCCCTGAACTGAAAAGAAGCTGAGATTTCTTTTCCAGGAGTCTCTCCTGTGACACAGGTGAAGCCATTCAGTAACTCTTCCTTCTAAAGCTGGGAATTTGTCTCTGCTTCCTTAGAATTTTTTCACTATTTTACCCATGGAGAGTTGAACACTCACTTTATAAGCACTACCCAAGAATGGACCTTCCTCTTCTTAACATCCATACTCAATAATATGAGAAATAAAGCATGCCAAGGAATTAGATCATGATGATGTGGAGGAGGAGGGTTGAGTTGTATGAAGTGAGCAAGCACCTGAGGAATGCTAAGGTTAAGGGACGGTGACTATTGAGAATTTGTAAGTGAGCTGAGACTGTTATGAGGCCCAAGCTCTTCTAGAATGTCCACTCTACGTGCATGGCGTATTTTCAGGCCTCTAGAGTAACATAAGTTATAAAAATGAATCTTTATATTAAAAGGGGATTTGTTAGAATGGCTTACAGCCTGTGAGCTAGCTAATCCAACAATGACTGGAAATGAATGGGAAGTTCAAGAATCCAGTAGTTTCTCAGTCCTAAACACTGGATGTCTCAGCTGTCTCTGATATTATGCTGTAACCTTAAAGTAGTAGGCTCTAATGTCAGTGAAGGAATGGATGCCGCCAACAAGGTGAGAGCAAGCAGAGAAAGAGTAAAAGCTTCCTTCTTCCATGTCCTCCTATAGGCTTCCAGCAGAATGAATGGTTCAGATTACACCTGGATTAAAGATCTGAATTGAAGGTGTGACTTCATTCCTCAAAGTTTCACAATAAAGTAGTTCTTCCTACATTAAATTAAGCAGAAATAGACCACAGGTGTTCCCTCTATTTTTGGGTTATATTACTCCCAGATGGCATCATGTTGACATCTAAAAATAGACATCAAAGTCTTAATTCTATCTACTAATATTCTTTAGCAAATGGCTCCACCAGAGATTGAAAGGAAGGAGTGGCAATAATCAACAGGTACATGGGAATCAGCTGTAGATGTCATGGTCATGGTGACTTTCAGTGGCTGCTTTATGGCTATGCATGGCTGAAATAGGATGAAATACCAGTCTGTGGTTTCTTGAGTAAGAGGGGAGAAGCTGGAAACCCAGTACTTTAAGAATCTGGTCTTTCTTTATAACTGAAGATTTGGAATTCAAATAATTATGTTTTGTTTGATAGTAACTGTGGTTAAAAACAAGTGCCCATAGGTAAAACCTGGGTGCTCTTTAAGTAAAAAGAAGAAAGGCCTGAAATAACAGCACATTGGACCTGTAATAAAGAGGATGGTGTTTCGGGTCATGTGAATTTTGACTTGAACTCCTCCAGACCATGTATTGCATACTCTATACATCCTGTGATGCGGGGGTTTGGGGGGGACCTCCTTCCTAAAAGAGGAAGGACTGGGATGACTACTGTGTGGTCTTCATTGTCATCAACAGCTAGATGCCTCCTATTGCTTTCAAAGCAAAAAGGATACATTTAGATTTGAAATTTCTCTAGGGTCATACAAGTGGGATTTCAGACAACAGCACCAATATACAAATTCTGTTCATGAGATGACACCTGTAGTGGGTAACTGTTCCAGCTTTGATCTGCAAGTACCACCCTCACTGAGGCTTCGGCAACTGTCACACCTGCAAGGCAGAGCTGAGAGAGGACCCCTGAAGACCCAAGATCCAGATGGGCTGGCTCTCTTGGATCCTGGACGCTGAACGCTGGAGGTAGACCAAGCAGAGTTCTCCTGAGAACACCGTGGACTGCACTACACCTTTCCCAGACTGTGTAACCTATCCCTTCACTTGTAAATTACCCCACAAAATAAACCTCCCTTTTAACTATGTGGAGTTGCCTTAATATTTTAACCAATAGACACCATTGACACCGCCATGAGGATCATGGGCACTGCAGTGTGTGTCACCAAGAATACTGGCATTCGACAATGTGCCTGGCGCTGCTTCAGAAACTCGCAACATGTATGGCTCTGAAAATGGGATGGAACCTTCCCCAAACCATCAAGCAGAATGGACTCCTCCATTTCTTTAGAATATAATCTCTGGCAGGCAGATGACTGACTCAGGCTTGTATTGGGGCCTAGCCTGTGTAGTAAGGGGCAAGACCTCTAATGGGAACTTTTCCACAACACTTAAAAGAAGGTCAACGCTGCTAGCAGCAACCAGCTACTCCAAATGTCCCCTCTACAGTATTAAGCACCATGACTAGGCATGTGTCCCCCTCCCTAATGCAGTTCCCTGATTCTGGAAGGCATAAGCTAGCCCAGCCATGTAGATTTGAAGGACAGTGTCAGCTCATATGTGATGTGATGCAGGTAAGTCCTGTTGTGCCTAGAACTTAGCAGCACCAAATCCTGATCACACTTCCCCAGAACCAAAGCATCTGAATGTCTGAGGTTGTGGTAGATGGCCAGGGGAGTTTCCCTCCCTTCTTATTGGTGTCAGATTCCCATGGAAACTGTAGGAATCCACTAGGATGAAGTGCAACAACACCCTACCCAGAGAGGGACAGCTCGTTAGTCCATCTGTTCCTCCTGCCCCTCTTTGCCAGTCTGAATGAAATGAAGGAGTTCCCAGAAAGGCAGCTGCAGCCTGGATAATTCATAGCTCTCCTAAACTCACCATCAGAGACTCTTGAATCTAGGTCTGTTCTTAAGAAGCCTGGAGAAGCAGGATAGGCCCATTGTTTCCCAGAAGCTCCCAGATGCTGAGCCCCATACTGGAAGGCCCAGCTTAACTTCACCTCCTCCATGAAGCTCACTGTGCCTTCTCCAAAACCATGTATTTCTCCAGGCTCTACACTAAGACCAAAGGCCAGCTTCCTTCTGCCTTCCTCTGGTCACTCCATGTTCTCTATTCTCTCTCCCAAGCAGCCTGCTCAGTCTTGCTAACATGTCTATGGGCACTGAACGAATACCCCACAGGCATGAGATGTTGCCACAACACTGGTAACATCACAGAGAATACCAAGGGCTCTACAGGATAAGATAGAATTTCAGAGAAGGGACTACTAGGGTCACCTGCAGCAGCCCTCCCCTACCTACTAACTAGCTCTTCTGCAATGCACAAAAAGCCATGTTGCCCTTCTCAGGAGCCTTTCCAGAAACATAAGGAAAGAACTTCAGTACCTCCTCTTTACAAAGCCAGGATCTCTCTCTGCTTCATTAGAATATTTTTACTACTTCAAGTATGGGAATTTGAAGTCTCTATTCCAAACACATCTGGTGAAATGGCTCATCACTTCCTCAGATCTCTAATTAATAACATGAGAAATAAAGGTTGCTAGGGTCTTAGGTCAGGATGGTGGGGAGGAAAGATCAGTCTTCAGATGTAAACAAGCACATTGTGGAGAATCTCCAAGGCTGTTACAGTATGTGGGTGTGGTGGGAGATTGTGGGTGTCCTGTCAGAACAAGGATAAGTCCCATAATCAATGAGGAAAATTACCCCGAATCATCAGCAGAATACATTCTAGACATAATAAAATACCAAAAGTGTGATCACCTAGTGACATGTCTGGCTGGGGACACTAAGAACCAGAGTTACCCAGGGAGCCCTCAGACACAAGAGCAAACACTCCCACAAGTGTAAGGCTCCATTCCTGCACTGGGGTTTGAGGAAAGATGAATGGCGAGTGAGAGGCCACACACAGATAGATATGCAACGGCATTTACAGAAAATCAAATGTGTCATAGTCATGGGGATAGTATGTAGTGTGTCACTGCGGTGGTGCTACCGCTGGAGCTACACAAGAGCCAAATTCCTTGACTGGAGCCTCCTGTAACAATGTGCAAGCCCTTAGGAAAGGTGACACAGCCAGCCTAAATTACAGTATCCATCGGAGCGTGAGAGAGGCAGGCAAAGGGCACAGGAGGACAGATTATTAGGGGTCCTTTACCATAGACCTTTCCCAGAGCCACACTTTGGAATTTACTGACAGTCCTGAAATGAAGAACTAGCACCCTGTTTGGTCTGGAGTGAACATTCACCAGAAGTCTAGACTGTGTCTTCAGAAGCGTACTTGGTGGATCCCAGAACAAATGAGTGATGTGAGGCAAACTGTGTCTTTTCAGATGTTATATCACACTGACAAGTCATGCTAGACAAGGTGAGCTATCTCAGTAATACCCAATTCTAGAAGTCAAAGCACAGCACCTGCCCTACACACTACCTCATCTCAGTTAATCCTTACACACTGATGGATACACAGAAAGTGACTGACAGATGAGACTTTGCCCAGGCAGGTTCTGAAAGCCCAGACTTGAGTCTACCCTCTGTGGATGTCAGTTTCCCATCTCTCTATAGGGAGGTGGCTGTCTCAGAAGTCAGCTGGTTTCCTCTGTCTCCCTGCACAAGGGGACCCAGTGGACAGCCTCTTAAGGCTTACTCACACTGTAGAGGATGCACCTTGGCTGCAGAGCCCTCATTCATGTGCTTTCAGATGCATGAAGATAATTGCTACTGTTATAATCACTTGGGTAGTGTAGGGAGGCCCAAGTCCCTTGCTCTGTGCTTCGGAGTCTCATGTTAATGGAGAAGTCATGCAGGGGCAGAACATAGTCGTCAGATTCACAAAGCCATCCTCACTGACACTCCAGGACACCCACAGCTGGCAGGAAGGGGACAGTCTCAGTCCAGGTCCACTGAATCTAACAGCTCTCAGGCTGAACTGGAGACCTGTGTACCATCAACAGCTGGTAATTCAGAAACCTCAGGGGTCACTGGAAGACAGCAGCACTTGGGGGCTCCTGCCCTGCTAGTGGCAATGATGTCAAGAGTAAGAACCTCAGGGTTTCCCAGGGTACTCTCCTTTCCCTATTATCACTGGCACATAACTGAAGGACTCCTGTGGCTGTAAAACACAGTTATGGTACAGAAATCTCATTAATCCCTCTGTGCCTCCTTCCCAGAAGTTCACAGTTCTTGAGCCCTTGATCTGGAAAGCTGAAGCCACCATATCCAGAAAGCTCCCCAGCCCCTTCCCAAAACTCACTGCCTCTTCCCCAGGACCATTTTTTCCATGTTTTCCAGGGAGACCTAGGACCAGCTTCCTTCTGCCTCACTCTGGTCTCTCCATGCTATCCATTCCCTCTCCTAAACAGACCTCTGAGTCTGGACAACATGTCTAGAGGCCAGGCTTGTGGTCACTGAACAAATGTCCTCAAGGCAGTCAGTGTTGCTACAACAATAGTGACATCACTGGGGATTCCAAGAGCTGTCCAGGATACAATAGAATGCCCAGCAAAGGGTCTGCTGATGTCATGAGGCACAGCCTTTGCCTCCTTGCTAATTAGTTCTCCATGAACTGGCCAGAAGCTGTGGTTTCCTTTCCAGGAGTCTCTCCTGTGACACAGGGGAAGCCATTCAGCACCTCCTCCTTCCAAAGCTGGGAATTTCTCTGCTTCATAAGAATTTTTTTCAAGCCGGGCTGTGGTGGCGCACGCCTTTAATCCCAGCACTAGGGAGGCAGAGCCAGGCGGATTTCTGTGAGTTTGAGGCCAGCCTGGTCTCCAAAGCGAGTTCCAGGAAAGGCGCAAAGCTACACAGAGAAACCCTGTCTCGAAAAACCAAAAAAAAAAGAAAAAAAAAAAGAATTTTTTTCAGTAATTCACCCATGTGGAATTGAAGCCTCACTTTACAAACCCTGCCTAAAATTGGCACTTACCCTCCTCACATCCATACCCAATAATATGAAAAATAAAGCATGCCAAGGAATTCGGTCATGATCATCGAGGAGGAGGGTTGAGTTCTCTGAAGTGAGCAAGCACCTGGGGAAGGCTATGGTTAAGGGAAGGTGACTATTTGGAATTTGTAAGTGAGCTGGGACTGTTATGAGACCCTAATTGTTCTAGAATGTCCTCTCTACATACCTGGTGTCTTAGCCAGCATCCTCCAGAAGTAATACAATGATTCTCTATGGAAAGGGTATTTGTTAGAATGGCTTACAGGCAGTGCTCTATCTGATCCAACAATATCTGGCTATGAATGGAAAGTCCAAGAATCCAGTAGATGCACACTCCACAAGACTGGATGTCTCAGCTGGTCTGCAGTATATGCTGGAATCTTAAGAAGTAGGCTTTAATGCTAGTGAAGGAATGGTTGTGCTAACAAGGCCAGTCAAGGAATGGTTGTGCTAACAAGGCAAGAGCAAGCAGAGAAAGAGTAAGAGCTTCATTCTTCCAAGTCCTTCCAACAAAAGGAGTTGTCCAAATTACATCTGGATTAAAGATCTGAATTAAAGGTGTGTGTAGCAGGAATCTTCAAAGTTCTTATTAATAAAATCAAACCTGGAGCCAGGTATTGGGGTGAACGCTGGAAGATCAGAGAGACAGAACAAGCCACAGCTACCTCACCTTGCCACTTCCTCAGCTGATCCTATTTCCTTCAGACTGGAAGCCTCTGTGTCCTCATCTGAATGGATCTCAGCTGAAGTGCTGCTCAAAATCCTAAAAGCTTAACCAGTCAACTATTTCCTGGTTTTCACGCCTTATATACCTTTCTGCTTTCTGCCATCACTCCCTGGGATTAAAGGCTCATTTTCTGGGATTAAAGGCATGAGTCATCATGCTTGGCTGTATCCTTGAACACACAGAGATCCAGACGGATTTCTGCCTCTGGAATGCTAGGATTAAAGATGTGTGGTACCACTGCCTATCCTCTATGTTTAATATTGTGGCTGTTCCATTCTCTGACCCCAGATAAGTTTAGTAGCGTGCACAATATTTTGGGGAACACAATACCACCACATTTCCCCTCTTTTGTCTAAAATTTAAAAAAGCTTATACCTAATACAAGAAAAATTATATCCAATAAGTATATACAATATACAC